CTCCCCTCCCCTCCCTCTCCCCCCCCCCCTCCCCTCCCCTCTCCCCCCCCCTCCCGTCCCCTCTCCTCCCCCCCCCCGCACTAGCGTGTGCGGGGGGAGGAGTGACATTGCTTGTGCCTCGCCCACACACACCGCTCACCCGCGCGCGCGCCGGGCCTTGCACTTTGAATGCCGTGCCGGCTCCTGTCGTCCAGACGTGTCGCCGCGAGGGTCGCACCCCCCGAGCCATGCCCCACACCCTTGCCCCACACCCTTGCCCCCCACCCCACTGTGTGTATGGACCACAGTGTCACCCGCGTGTACCTTGCCCCGCCGCAAGCCCTGCCCATGTCCCCCCGCCGCCAGGTGGAGGAGAAGGAGGCCGCCGAGCTCAAGGCGAGATTCCCCCGAGATTCCCCCGAGATTCTCCCGAGATTCCCCCGAGATTCCCCCGAGATTCTCCCGAGATTCCCCCGAGATTCCCACGAGATTCCCCCGAGATTCCCTCGAGATTCCCTCGTGATTCCCCCGAGATTCCCCCGAGATTCCCCCCAAAGGCGCTCGACGAGCTCGACAAGAAGCGAGGCGGCGGCGGCGGCGCCTCCAGCACGGGCGGGGTGCACGCGCGAGATCACCCCCTCTGCCCCTCTGCCCCTCCGTGTTTTCCGCCCCTCTGCTCTCTGCCCCTCTGCCTCTCCCTCGCTCTCTCTCTCTCTCTCTCTCTCTCTCTCTCTCTCTCTCTCTCTCTCTCTCTCTCTCTCTCTCTCTGTCTGTCTGCCTCTCTCTGCCTCTCTGCCTCCTTCCCTCCCTCCCTCCCTCTCCCTCTCCCTCTCCCTCTCCCTCTCCCTCTCCCTCTCCCTCTCTCTCTCTCTCTCTCTCCCTCTCCCTCTCCCTCTCCCTCTCCCTCTCTCGCCCTCCTCGCCCCATCCCCTCTCCCTCCCTCTCTCGCCCCCCTCGCCCCTCCCCCCCCCACCCCCTCCCACCGCCACCACGCACCGCCACCACCAGCCCCTCCCCCCTCTCTCGCAGGCGCGTGCCCTCGACGATCTTCTCGCCGACGCGAGCGAATGGGGCGAGAGCACTCCCCTCACGGCGCCGGCCGATGCAGGCGAGCCCGCCGCCTCGGCGCCGGCCGATGGCACGGCAGATTTGCTTGGCCTGGGCTTGGATGAGCCCGCCGTCAAATCGTGAGGAGGGGGCACGCCGAGCGCCGCTGCTGCGGTGTCTTGACGCAGACGCGGCTGGTTCTTACCAGAGCGAGTCCATGCAAGCCACTTCCGCAGGAGTAAAACCTCGTATTCGGGTATTTGTGTTCATATAAGACACGTGCGTTGTGAGAGCTCAGACTGTCCAGCGCTCAATTGTCAATAGACACATGAGTGCCGCGATCTCATGAGTCATGTGAATACGGCTTGGCGGTCCCGGTGGCTCGTTGTGCGAGTATATGGGACACGTGGACACGATGTCTCAAATATGAGGGGTTTTGACTCCTACCGGCTCCTGACGCTATTCCTGGCAGCTCTTATGACCAGGATCAGTAGTGCTATGATACAGGGTGCCCATGCTAGCGCAGGAGCTGCCACACTCGCCCGGACCGTCCCCTTCTGGGGCCGGTTCCGCAGCCCGCGAGAGCCGACACAGCGGGGCCGTGCCGCGGGTGCCTACTGCCGAGTGCCACAAACACTGCGCCGTCCCGCCATCACCTACAGGCTGTCTTGTGTGATGGTTGGGATGTCCAAACGCCACCATCTTGGTTCTTGCGACCTCAAACCCGCGAGCTGTATGGGTGGTCCTGACGTCGACAGACGCCCGATGACCACGGTGAAGCTGAGCCGTAACGAGTCGACAAGGCTCGTCTGAGTCCGTGGCGGTCGCCGGCTGAGTCGCTGTGCACGGGCCGGTACCTCAGGCGTCACCTCCGCAGCCTCAGGTCTCACACTCCATCACCTCCGACGGGACGCCGTCGGTGGCACGCTCGGCGGCGACTTTGTTGCAGCCCCACAGCGAGCGCGGCGTCGAGCCTACTCAGTCTGGTCGGTCGGCCGCACTCACTGGGTGCCAGGGAGTGCCGCCGACACGCGAGCGGTGCTTCCTGGCAGCGCGCGCCGGCTGCGGGGCTGCCACAAACTCGAGTCACGCTTCTTAGGGACATTTTCGACGCTTTTGTCCCATATACTCGCACAACATGCCCGGTGAGCGGTGTGGGTCACGGGTTCAGGCTCACACGCTCAGGGCGGCGCAGCATGCGCGTGATTGATAGAGTATGATTTCTCGCTCTCTCGCCATCCAGAGTCCGCCACCCTTAAAGTACCCCTCTGGGGCCGGTTCCGCAGCCCGCGAGAGCCGAGCAGCCGACAGCGGGGCCGTGCCGCGGGTGCCTACTGCCGAGTGCCACAAACACTGCGCCGTCCCGCCATCACCTACAACGTACAAGGCTGTCTTGTGTGATGGTTGGGTCTTGGGATGTCCAAACGCCACCATCTTGGCTCTTGCGACCTCAAACCCGCGAGCTGTATGGGTGGTCCTGACGTCGACAGACGCCCGAGGACCACGGTAAAGCTGAGCCGTAACGCGTCGACAAGGCTCGTCTGAGCCCGTGGCGGTCGCCGGCTGAGTCGCTGTGCACGGGCCGGTACCTCAGGCGTCACCTCCGCAGCCTCAGGTCTCAAACTCCATCACCTCCGACGGGACGCCTTCGGTGGCACGCTCGGCGGCGTACTTTCTGCAGCTCCATCTCGAGAACGGCGTCGAGCCTACTCACTCCTGCTGGATCCACGCACTCCCTGGGACTCCTGCTGGATACACGCACTCCCTGGGAATGCACGCACTGCATGGGTAAAAAAAGAGTTTTTGGCGCCGATTTTTTCTTCTTTCTGGCGGCATGAGCGGCGCCATCCTCCCAACCCGCCTCGCCGACCTGGCTCGGGGCGACCTGGCCTGGCTGCGCGCCTTCCTCTCCGGGCAGGGGACGGACGGCACGTCACGCATTGCCCAGCTCGACGCGCGGCACGACACCGAGAGGCAGGACACGCTGCTTACCTGGGCTGCTTGTCACGGGCAGGCCGAGGCGGTGCGGCTGCTGCTCGAGGTCGGCGCGAGTGTCGGGGCGACGACTGGTGGCGGCGCTTCCGCGCTGCATATCGCGTGCCAACAGGGCCACGTCCAGTGCGCGCGGCTGCTTCTCGAAGCGAGCGCGGCGGTCAACCAAGCGGCGGGTGGAGGCTTCTCGCCGCTGCGCATCGCGAGCCAGCTGGGCCACCTCGAGATCGCCCAGCTGCTGCGCGACGCTGGCGCTGACATCAACCAAGCCACGCAGGATGGTGGCACGCCGCTGCTCATCGCGTGTGCGAAGGGCCACCTCGAGATCGCGCGGCTGCTTCTCGAGGCTGGCGCGGCGGTCAACCAAGCCACGAATATTGGCGTCACGCCTCTCTTCATGGCGTGCCAGAAGGACCACCTCAAGATCGCCAGGCTGCTCCTCGAGGCTGGCGCGTTGGTCAACCAAGCCAGGGACGACGGTACCACGCCGCTGTACATGGCGTGCCAGAAGGACCACCCCGCGATCGTGCGGCTGCTGCTCGAGGCTGGCGCGGCGCCCGACCAAGCTGCTGATGACGGCGCCACGCCGCTGTTCGTCGCGTGCTACAATGGCCACCTCGAGGTCGCCAAGCTCCTCTCCTCCTACGGCGCCTCCCGCGCCGCAACGCCCCTCGGCACGCCCGACGAGGTTGCAAGCCGTGAAGGCCACGCCGACCTCGCTGCCTGGCTGGTCGCCAGCCGCGGCTGGACGCCGCTCCAGCACCTCGAGGCGTGCCTGAGACTAGCGGCCGAAGGCGTGAGCGCGCTGTCCTCACGCCCATTGCCCCTCTTCCGCAGGCGCTCACCGTCGACCGGGCGCGGGCACTGCTGCGCGGCGGCGCGGACTCTTCGGCCGGCGAGCCTTCGGCCCTCGAGCGGGCGCGCGTCCTTTGCTCGTGGGGCGAGTCGGATCCGACCGTTGCGGCCGTCGGTTCCACAGTCGCGATCCACTCTCTGGTCTCGCGGCCGTCGATGAACGGAAAGGTCGGCGTCGTCGTCTCCGCGAGCGCTTCGACGGGCCGCTTCGGCGTGCGCGTGGCGGGCGAGGCCAAGGCGTTTGCGCTCAGGCGCGCAAGGCAATGGTCTCTCCCCGACTCGCCGGATCCTTGCTTTGACACACCTCTGCCAACCCTCAGGCCGGCCAACCTGCAGCCAGCGGCCGAGGCGGTGGAGGTGGGCGGGCTCATCCTCAAGGCGACGGAGTGGTCGCCGCAGTCGCACGAACTCTTCCCGGAGGCGGCTCGCAAGCGGGCGGTCGAGGTGATGCGGCTGGGCTACCTGATCGCCTGGGACGAGGAGCGTTTCGACAGCCGCGAGGGAGCGGCTCCAGAGCTGGCGGACATCTGGCGCGGCATTGTGCTGCCAAGGGTGGTGGTGCGATGACCGCACAAGCCGCCAGCAAAACGGTCGAGAACTCCTGTGTTTTCGTGGGGCAGGCCCCAAACGAAACGTGTCAGGGTCGTTTGGGTGGTGCAAATGAGCGCTCGCAAGGGTCAGAGGGAGTTACGGAAAATTAGCGCGAGGGTCCAGGCCGACTACACGGTAAGGCATACGGACCTTGCAGTAAACCTTTTCCTTTCTAATAAGCAGGGCTACACAATGACCCCATAGTGTGTGGGTCGCCGCGATATACCAGCGGCAGCGCCCCGATCGGATCGGATAGGGTCCCAGGACATCATAGCGCAACGCCTGGGGGTGATGACATGAGTACAGTATGCAAATCCTGGACGTCGTTATTCACACCAACGTTCACACAGCCGTCTGACGGTGGCTGTGGACTGTGGAGGCCGATCGCAGACCATACGCGTTCTGAGCGGCCGCGCCTGGTCCCTCATGATCTGGCATGGACTCTCTGCACTCCCTGCACGCTCATCCACTGCGCAATAACTCCCTGCAGCGCCTCCTCGCGACCTTTAGACTTGTTCAGCTCGCCTTGTAAGCGGGCCACCTCATCCGCATGCGCCGCCTCCTTTCGTCAATCTTTTTGGCGAGCTCAGAGGTTCTCTTCGTTGCCTCATTATGCATCTCCTCTTTGCCTTGAGCAGCAAATTGTGCCAAATCCGACTCCCTCTCGTGCTCATACGTGACGTTCCCGGCGTTGCGGAGTAGCTTGCGTACGGTGGGAGCGAGTGACGGGTTGCTATTCGGTGCGAACCCGCGCCGAACAAACCATGTATTGCGATCACGGATGCGGCCGTGCCCTTCCCAAACGGCATAGCGACCGCCAGTCTGGTTGAGCATGTGATGGAGGACGCGCTTCCGGTCGGTGGGCGGGCGTGTCCCAGCGGTCGTCTCCACGGCAAGCACGTCGATGGTGATCGTGTCCCAGTCCACCGCACGTAGCACTTCTGTCTCGGCGCCCTCGACGTCCAAAATCAGCATGTTGAGGTGGGTCACGCCGAGCCGCTGTAGGATCGTCGTTAAGGGTAGGCAGTTGAGCGGTACGTGCGGGATCGTGGCCCACGGAGCCGCGTCCCACCCCACCCCCGCCCCCTGCGGCGCCCACACCACGTGAGGCGCCAGCTCTGGGTACCAGTGTCGCACAAAGCGCTCACTCATGAATTCGGCAATGCCCTGCACCTCCTTTGGCCCGCCAGCTTTTGTGAGGTAGTGAACGGCCATGGGTTTCGCGCACACCGCCGCCGTCACGCCAGCAAAATCTGGGATGCCACTTGCGATATACTGCCGCCGCGAGGCGCGCCACGAAGGGTCGCCTTCGACGATGATGCGGCGCCAGTGGCCAAGAGACGCAAACATGGCCGTTTTGGAGCTTCGTTGACCATCGAGGCCGCCCAGCTCAAGGACCGTGCCACTCACCTGGCGCCAAAAGAGGTGGCCGATGGCATCGTAGTCCTCACAATCCTTCTGCTGCCGACTGGAACACCTCCTCCCCTCGCGTAGCAGCCAAGAGCGCGAGGACGATTCTGCCCACTGTGTGCCATTACCTGCACTGTGCATTGCGGCGTTCGAGCGCCAGACGCGAGAGCGGTCAATCTCACCGTCCACGACGACGTTGTGCATCGCCACATCCTCTCTGGGCATCCTGGCGCGTTTCGTGTGGGCATGCCGCGTCCTATTGTGGTGCTGGTGACTCGAAAGGTCGGCGGCAGCCATAGCAGCTTCTCTGTTCGCATCACCCACAGCCACGCGCGAATAAGCCCGCGTGTTGCTTGCATTGGTAGCCTTCGGGCAAGGCGCGGGTCTCTCGGCACACGCCTTGCAGCACATGATGGCGGTCTCCGCGGCAGCGGCCCGGAGGCGGCCCGGCGGAGCGGTCACTCGACTATAACACGGGCTCTATTGAATGTCCTCAAGGTGCTCTCTAGGGCTGCCCTATTCCGCTCGCCCGGCTACGTCGCTGAGCTTCGAAGGAAAAGGTTTCGCTCGGCACGGCGTCGGAGAGCAAACTTCGGCGTTCGTCCATGTGGAATGCTGGACGCACGTCGGCAAGTGGGCCGATGACCAGGCGGGCTGCTGCTCAGAATCTGGGCCCTCTTGGCGCTCGCTCTCGCGCTCTCCATAACGGCTTTGCCCCCTCCCTCCCGCGCCGACGTTGGGCAGCCCGACCACGACAACGCCAGTGCCGCCGGCCTGCAGCTCGAGGCGCCGTTGAATGAGCACGAGAGCCGGTGCACGACGGCGGCGCGGGTGATGCAGCCCAAGGTGACGACGACGGCGGAGGGGGCGGCGGCGGAGGGGGCGGTGGCGGAGGGGGCGGCGGCGGCAGCGGCGACGGCCGCGGGGTCGGCCCGCCCGCCTTTGCTGCTGGGCTGTGGGCATCATCACAGCTCAACATGAAGTCAAGGCGCGGAAGCTTCAGTGGGGACCTGATGCTGAGTTCCCGCACCAGCCTGCGGACCAGCGCAGTTCAGTGGCAGTGTGCAACCAGGGCCAGTGGTAGACAGTGGACGTGCGTGAGGCTGCTCTCTGAGCGATGACACTAGCAGGGGCATCAGGATTTCCATCGGAGTCACTCGTATTACGACGCCGCCACGCTCGCAAGGGCCGCCTAAGCGCCTAAGCACCCTAAGCACCCCCGCTTAGGCCGCTTAGGCGCTTAGGCGAGTGACGGCCGGCTGCCCGGGGCCTGGCGTGCCTCTGGGTGGGGTGAGCGCCTGGAAGAGCCACTCTGCAAGTGGTGTGCGAGCGTGTAGCCTTTAGCGTGCAGTCGGCCTCCAACAAACGCAGGCTCGTTTCGGCGCGGCGCGCGCGCGGACACGAAAACGTGTAAAATAGTTTGTTGACGACGTTGAGTCACGATTCCCCCGTAACACCCGACCGCGCTGCCACGCTCCAGGCTGCAGGCCTACGAGCAGGAGCTGCGCGACTCGACCGAATACTACGAGTGGCGTGCGCGGATGCAGCAGCACGACAAGGAGGAGGAGGCGGCGGCGGTGGAGCGGAGGCGCATCGAGACGCTGCTCGGCGAGGAGGCGGCCAAGG